CCAAGTTACAAACTGAATTGCCAAACAAAGTCCAAATTCAACTTTCTGCCAAAATGCTGTCACAAGGCTACCCAAGCTGGCAACAAGAAGATAACAAGAAGCACAAAATCTGGAAGATATAAAATGCAGAGGTAACATGTATTGCAAGAAAACAATTTTCAGCTTCATCATTTCCCTAGGCCATTACTTTTTCAGAAGTAGTACATGTCAAGCAATATAGTATGCTAAATACTGTACTAGAGAGAGAAAAAAGAGAGAGAAAAGTGTTTAGGCTTACAGGTTTAGGCTTGAGACATAGAAGAACATGGAAAATAAAATTGCAATAACACAGTGGACAAGGAAAAGGGAAGATAAAGGCAGAACTTTTTTACCAAAGCAAAAGATATATACAAACTGTCAGCATTCAACCCAAAGCCTGAAGCACAACTTGCCTACTACTTAACCAAAAACCTGGCCAAGGCCATCAACAAGAAACACCAAGCCTGTACCTTTAAGCCTTCAAACCTGAAGCCTCAAAAACCAGTAAGTCCTGCATCAAACCTCAAACCTGCTGAACCATTACAAACACATAACCTCAAACCTGCTGAACCAAAACATCAACCACCATAAAAAACCTACTGAAGCAACCCCTGTCTAAACCTGAAACCTGCTGAAGCAAACCAAAACCTTAACCATTCAAAGCCAAGTATATCACAAACACTTCCAGCCAAACCTGTCCAGTTCAAACTTTACCAAAGGCCTAAAAGATACAAAACCTGCAAATGGCCTAAAAACTCATTACCAGCTATAACCATAAGCCAGCATTAACCTACCAAATGCCTTAAACCACTGCTAAACACATAAACCTGTCCAGCTTCAAGCCTAACCAAATACTCAAGCATTCAGGACCAACTCTAGGCCCTCAGTAGACGCATCATCGGGCAACAAGCTCAGCATATTCAAAAGCATACGAAAGTTCTAGGCAACTCAGAGACGAAGAAGAAGCAACAAAGGCATCTCAAAATAGCAAGCATACAGAGTCATAGCAAAAGAAGAGAAAAAGAAGGAATACGCCAACAAGAAGCTTTCAGCTCAGAACATCATAAAGCGTAAGAAAATACAAAAATACCAGGGTCTCAAGGCGCGCCTCCGCCGTTCTCCTAGCTCGCCTCACTTTCCTCCCTCCTTCTCCAGGTAGTTTCTCCCTTTCCCTTTTTCATAATACCTTGACAATCATACAAACGAAATTAAACTCAATGGATTAGACAATGACGAAATGCAAACCCTAACGAATCAAAACGGTTACCTATTTCTGTCGTTTTGACGCTGTCATTGGAAGAAGGGGGGAAATGGAAAGCCGGTGGCCTTGGGCTGAGGAGGTACGGGGACATGCGTGAGGATAAACTCAGAAGCCAGTAAGATTGAACGAAAACGAAGAGCACGAAAACGAACGCCGCCGCTATTGCAAACCCTAGAGTATTTCGTCCCAACTGAACATAACAACCAAAAAACCCTAAAACGTTTCGTGTAAAACTTGGGCCTTTGTCCGTCTCTGCATGCCTAAGCCCATTAAAAATGCTTGCTTTTTTTTTATATAAAGAAAATATATCATTCATATTTATTGACCCATTTAACCTTTTAAAACTAACTTAATTTTTTCTAATAAATATTTTGTTAACACTAACCTTTTTTATATATACCTCACTTTATATCTAACTTTTCATTTTCTAATTCAATTTTATTTATATATAACAATTAAAAATACATTTCCTTTTAATACACATAATTTAATCTGTGATTTTTATTTAAAAAATACTTTTTGTGTATAATAAACAAATACATTTTTATATATAATATGATTAAACTAAAAACATTTTCTTTTCACTTACTTTTTGTATACCGAATGAAAAATACTTTTTATACATAATTAAAATTTAGAAATATTTTATTTTCTTAAAAACATCATTTTCATAATTTAATTAAAACTTAAACATCCAATTAAAACATTTCTTTTGTGCATATTAAAAATATACAAATCCAAGATTCATTAAACGCATATCTAGGTCAAATACCCTAATCCACATTAATTTCGCATTGTCGCACCTGTAAATAATCACATATACACAATACATCTCACATTTACACAATACAAACACGTTCACATTGCCCTATACACATTTGTTTATCTTATATTTGTATATTCGATATTTACATTTGATCGCAAATTCGATTTGGTTGTAACTTATTGGATGCTATAAGTCTCATCCCCATTCATACACATGTACCCCCACTCCCGGATACTATTTTGTAATAGCGTAGATTTTACATTTTCGCAATTTACCGCTTTCAATTATACCATGGTTAGACCTAGGGTTTGCATGTACATAAAATAAAATGCTAGATAACCTAATACAAGACAAATACATGAAATCAATACACAATCACACTTGCACCCCCTAGGGTAATCCCACATGTTGCCTTCCAAAATGGGCCATGCTTGCACGTCGAGAATCTTTGGCAAAACAAAATCAAAATGATCATAAGTCCCTCAAAGTGTTGCCTAAACGGAATGATCATAGTCCCTCCAAAGCAAATTGCCAAAGACACTTGGCACCATTGCATTCATGGTCCATACGATGACCCGCGCCCGTCCCGAATAAACTTCCTAAACACAAGATTGTCCATCAAATTCAATGGTGGAACAAAATTGTTAAAAAGGGTTAAAACATAACAAAAACCTTTGAGTACAATAGGGTAGACAAAACTCTTAGTTACTTGAGATCAAACTTGCAAAAACACTTGCCTTCTTTTCAAAAACCACAATCCACAACACTTTCAAATAAACTCTCAAAAACATTTGAAACATCTTTTCGAAAGGATCCACACTTTTGTAAAACACTCAAACACGAGTCAAATACATTGGTCGCCTAAGACAAGGCATCTTCTTCAAAAACATTTTCAAAAACACTCACACACACCACATTTTCAAGCAACCGAAAATCAAGGAAAGTGATCTAAAAAACCAAGTAACTAAGAGCCCATGGATAACCATGGATGAAAAGGGTGCTAATACCTTCCCTTTTCATAATCTACCCCCCGAACCCACGAAATATCTCAAAAGGTTTTTGTTGTGCTTTTTTAACCTTTCCTTTAGGATAAAATAAAAAGTCGGTGGCGACTCTTGCTCAACCACACAAGTGCAAATACGAACGCAAAACACTAGTCAGTTCTCCCACCGTATCACACCTGGTCTCGACAGAGGATTGGTAGAACTTCAGTTGCCAATCAAACCTGGAAAAAATCCAGTCAAGCAATGTCCAAGACGCTTCGCTCCAGACATACTGTCGAAGATCAAAACGGAAGTCGAAAGACCGCTGAAGTGCAAATTCATACGAGCTACGAGGTATGTCGAATGGATTGCAAACTGTTGTACCCCAATTTTTGACCTAAGATCCCATTTTTATTTTTGCATTTTTAAAGATAAGTCAAGGTCACAAAATACAGTCGATTTTAACCTCTCACCTTCGAGCTTTGACTATGCGAAGATTGTCAAGTGTTTTGAACATTTTTTAGCCTATGTATCACTAATTTCTAATCGCATACAAAGGTGTATGTTCATGTTTTCTTTTGTGTCATGTGCAGAGACAGGTCTGAATCAAGAGCATCATGTGTCGCGCCTCAATTAAGGTTTTGAGTCTCCCAAGCCAAAAGTACGGTTGATTATGGATTCTCGAAGACTGATTCATCAAGGCACACCGTTGCACCCTTAATTTCGCCCCTAATTTTTTCAGTCGCACATTCATACCATATTTTGTCATTTGGTCACAATCATTAGTAAATATCTTCATTCATCATATTTTGCATCATTAGTCGTATTTAAGTTGACCAGAAAAGTCAGTTTAAATCAAAAGTTTGCGTCGTCTTTACCTGACATTTCACTTCATGCATTTTTATCTCTTTACTCGTTTCTTGCATTGCTCCAAGTTGTTTATATGTCGATAATAAAATATTTCGGTTTTATAGACAGACTGTTAAAAGCGATTCGACACTATGCGGAAATTAGCGAGAAAATATTTCAAGTTTTCACCTTTTACCGATCATTTTATGAATCTGCGTTTCGCGTAGATTATGACGGTATGCTCGCTTTATTTTTTCGGTACAGTTCGAAGTCTCGTTTTTAACCTTAAATGTCTGTTTAGTCTGATATTTTATTATTATTTTATTTTGATTTTTGACTTCTTGAATATTTTTTCTTTAATCTTTGTGACATGTAGATTATTTTAATGTGTTCATTTTATTTTTTCGGATAAACTTTCGTCCGTTCTTTTATCGTTTTCGATCATTTTGGGTCTTTATTTTTATTCATAAAATAATCAAAAAAATCATTTTAAATTGAGTTATTTTTTATAATTTCAGGTTTTATTTTATTTTTGTCATTCAGGGATTTTTTGGTCACAAAAAATATTAATTAGGCTTCGCTTAATTCTCATTGGTCGATAGCATAGTTTGCGGATTGATAGAGATTGAATTCTCATTGGTCGAAAGCATGGTTTGCGGATTGATAGAGATTGGATTTATATTGAACGGCTTGGATTTATTTTGAAATCATAATATTTCTATTCTTTTTCTATTTAAAGGCTTCATTTTTTCTTTGCAAGGGAGAGAGACCAAAAACACACAAAACAAACTTTTTTTAGGAATTTTATTGTTGAGTAACGCTCATTGTACAGGAACCAAACCTGTCACCCTTGTACATACCTTCATAACCTACATACACTCTCTTCCAATTTTCCTTCAAGTTGAGTTTTACTGTACAATTCTAACCTTATTATACCTTCAATCAACGTTCCAGAACCACCATCTTTTCTATCAACCTTCAAACTGACCTTCATTCAAACAACCACATCGACATTGTCCTCCACCTCTGTCAACCTTCACAGTATCCAACACATCCACACTTCTCTCTCTCGCCATTGATCCGCCAAAACCTCACTTCTTCAAATTACCAACTATCCTTCTGCATGTCTCCTGCACCCGCAGCACCTGCAGTAAAAACAACTGAAAAGGCTCCTAAAAAGTCTTCTGAAAAAGCTACTGATAAGAAGGGAAAGGAAGTAGAAGTAGAACCAGTAAAGGAAGAACCACTGGATCCTCTAGCTGAAAAACTTCGCCAAAAAAGACTAGTTGAAGAAGCAGATTATAAGTCAACTAAGGAATTGTTTGGTGGGGCTACTGATGAAAAGAACATTGATACTTTTATACCGAAATCTGAGAGTGATTTCTTGGAGTACGCAGAACTCATCTCATACAGGCTCCGTGCTTTCGAGAAAAGTTATCATTATATGAATCTACTGAAGTCTGTAATGAGAATATCAATGACTTCTCTAAAAGGAGCAGATGCCAAAGATATCGCCTCTTCTGTAACTGCCATTGCAAATGAAAAGATTAAAGCAGAGAAGGAATCCAATGCTGGTAAAAAGAAGACAGTTGGAGTTGTTCCATTTTGTTTAACCTAGCAAAATCTGCCGCCGCCGCCACCGTAATTGAAGCCCTCCGCTGTCGGTAATCAGGGACAGTTTTTGTTACCCATTCTGATTTCTTGACCCATTTGAAATCAGATCGTATGGAGGATGATTGGGAGGAAGAGAAATTGGCACCTATTGAACTTACAAGAGCCGGCTAAACTTAAATGGGAAGATGAAGATGTGGATGAAGATGAAGTAAAGGATTCTTGGGAGGATGACGATGAGCCCGCTCCTGCTACACGAGGCAATAGTCCATCTGCTTTCGACTTCAGAAAGTTTCGATTTGCTCATGATCCTTATGCTCCTGCTGACCGTGCGCGTGCTATTGGTGTGAAGCTTGTGAGTTTTGATGATGCTATTGCTACTGCTGATTTTATATCTTTGCATATGCCGCTTACGCCTGCTACCTCGAAGATGCTTAATGATGAGACCTTTGTTAAGATGAAGAAAGGTGTTAGGATTGTTAATGTTACGCGTGGTGGGCTGGGAAGTTAGTTATAGTGCTGAATTCAAATCCTAATGCTATCAACGGTGGTGGTAATGTTTCAATGATGCAAAGACCAATGAACCAGATTAACTCTACCAACCCTGTACATGTGACTCAGTTTCAACACCAAACTCAATCTCATCATCAACGCCGAGCCTCACTTTTTGTCAACAACACCTCATTTCCTTTTGGTAAACTCATCTTCCTTTTATTCTTTCTAATTAATATTGTTGAATTGAAATTAATATGGTGTGATGTTGTTAATATGATTGGATTAATGTTGAAACTCTGTTGAAGATAAATGGGGTTTATACTTGTTTCACTAATTGATGATGATTTTGATTGGTTGTGTTTGATTTTTGAATCGGTTTTTGAGATGTTCAAATGAATTGATAATATTAGAAAAGAAAAGTGAAGTGGTGATGTGTTTCTTTTCTTTTAAATGGTAGAGTTTTGAAACAATTGTGTAAAAATGGATGTGATGACATTGTTATTCCTATTTGTTATTAATTTGTGCTAGATATCTGAGCTGAGCTGTTAGTGTTGTTGGTTAAACAATAGCATGTTTATGCTAATGGTTAGTTAATTGTGATGAATTTTTGTTGCTTCCCGGATTTGGTTAGATTGACTTTAGTTCGCTTTGAGCTCAACTTTCCATGTTTTGAATATTGGATTGAATAATAGCATGAGTTTCTTTGGTTTTAGTTCATTTGTGAATTGAAATACTTGAATAATTGATTGTTTGTTTTTTTTTGAATTATTCATATGCATTCATGCAATTTCATTTCGATTTATACTTTGTTATTACCAACACATGTTTTATTTGTTGCAATTTCATTTGATTTTATTTTTATACTTCGTGACTACCAACACATGTTTTAATTGTTGCAATTTCATTTTTATATCTCTTATGCTACTAACAAGTTTGTTTACTGTGAAGGTTTCCGAGTGTTTCAGGCGTTCGTTCTCGCATAACGCATTTATACTTTTTCTTTATTCCCTTTTTACCTTACTATTTTGATTTAATATTTGGTATTGTAAATATATACTTGTGCATAATATTTTTTACTGTATATTTTACTTGTAAATAAATTCAGGTTTCTTAAAAATATTATTTTTCGCATTGTGATTTTATTTCCAATGCCGACTAACTTCTAGAAATTGTGCGGACGCACACAAGTTTCCCGTGTTGTTGGTAAATCTCTTGTGATGCAGGGATTCTTATCCGATATCGTGAGCTTTATCCACCGCCTTTGCGCTTTATCTGATGCTTGGAGTATTATCTCACATTAGGTTTTTTTGATGATGCTGTCGGCTTGTGATTTATTTTCACCTAAGGTTTGACATACTCTTAGCTTATTTATCCGTCTGTGGTTTTAATTCCAAGGGAAATCTTTCAACTCAGTTGACTTCATGTCATCAAATACATCTTTTGCAATCGTGCGAATACCCTCATTCATTTTTTGCTTATTTACTATTTTTCCAAACTTGAGATAATTTTCTCAAAAGACTCCATTTTCAAACTCATGCCTTTTAAGTCAAAACTTCGACACTAGGTCATCGTATCTTTAAAAATATCGTCCATACCCATCTTTAACCAAACAAACCATTTTAATCAAACAAACAATTTTTAACCAAAAAACAGATATTTCAAAAGGTTCCTGCGGAGTACCGCAGATGCATTGGGTGCTAATACCTTCCCATTGTATAACCAACCCCCGAACTCTCGATCTCTTTCAAAAACGCATTGTATTTTTATTACTTTTAAGTATTATTTTACATTGCATATTTTAGGGTTTTATTTCGCTCTTTTCCCTTTTCCCTTGGAAATAATAAAGCGCGGTGGCGACTCTTGCTTTTGCGAGTCAAGTTAATTAATAGCTTGATCTCCGATTTTCACCGCTACACAAACATTGTGCCAGTAATTAAGAAAAATGGTACGTTGAGGGTGTGCATAGATTTCAGAGATCTGAATGCTGCAACACCCAAAGATGAATATCCTATGCCTATGGCAGAAATGCTAGTCGACTCTGCCGCTGGCCACGAGTACCTGAGCATGCTCGACGGTTACTCAGGATACAATCAAATTTTCATTGCTGAAGAAGATGTGTCGAAAACATCTTTTCGATGCCCCGGGGCTATAGGCACTTACGAATGGGTAGTAATGCCTTTTGGCCTGAAAAACGCTGGGGCAACATATCAGCGAGCGATGAACTCTATCTTCCATGATTTTATTAACACTTTCATGCAAGTATATATTGATGATATCGTTGTAAAATCTATTTCCAGGAAGAACCATATAGACCACCTTCGATAATCATTTGAAAGAATGAGAGAGCATGGTCTGAAAATGAACCCTTTAAAGTGTGCGTTCTGTGTGAAAGCTGGAGATTTCTTGGGCTTCGTCGTCCACAAGAAAGGAATCGAAATCAACCAGAACAAGACAAAGGCAATCTTGGAAGCGAAAGCGCCAACGAACAAGAAGGAACTGCAATCTCTACTGGGCAAGATAAACTTCTTAAGGAGATTTATATCTAACCTAAGTGGAAAAGCGCAAGCCTTCTCACCCTTACTTCGATTGAATAAGGAAGGATTCGAGTGGGGGCAAGAGCAACAGGATGCCTTCGACAAGATCAAAGGGTATCCACCAAGCCAGCTATTTTGGTGCCTCCTTGTAGCTATAGGAGTATGAGATTGTACATAGTTGCATCCGACAAAACTTTGGGAAGCATGTTAGCCCAAGAAGATGAAAATGGAGTCGAAAGATCCATTTACTACCTTAGCAGAGTTTTGAACGATGCAGAAACTAGATATAACGAAGTTGAAAAATTATGTCTATGTCTTTATTTCTCTTGTACAAAGCTCAAACAGTATATAAAACCAGTTGATGTGTATGTTTCGTCTCATTTTGATGTTTTCAAATACATGTTGTTGAAACCCATCTTGCACAGTCGAATTGGCAAGTGGGCGCTAGCATTAACTGAGTATTCATTGACCTTTATGCCTCTTAAGGCAGTAAAAGGACAAGTGGTAGCAGACTTTATAGTCGACCACTCGATTCAGGTTGAAAATATAAATTATGTGGAGATAGAACCCTGGAAATTTTACTTCGATGGTTCCAGCCATAAAGATGGAATGGGAGTAGGGGTCTTAATTATTTCTCCAAAAAAAATTCCAACAACATTCAAGTACAAGATAGAAGGTACTTGTTCGAACAATGAGGCTGAATACGAAGCTCTAATTACTGGCCTTGAAATATTGTTGGAATTGGGGGAAACTCAAGTCGAAATAATGGGAGACTCAGAGTTAGTCATTAAGCAAGTCACAAAAGAGTACAAATGCATAAGAGAAAATCTCATCATGTACTTTGTGATAGCAAATCGTTTATTGAAAAATTCGAAGTGGTTAATATTCGACACATACCTAGATTGGAAAACCAAGTAGCCAATAATTTGGCACAAATTGCATCTGGGTACAAAATTTCAAAAACGAGATTACAAAGAGCAATCGAAGTTCGAGAAAAAATAAAAGCAACCAGCTTGTCTCCAACTAATTTGGAATCGACAAGACTAGGGTATGCTGATCGAAGGAATTTTGAAATTTCGTTCATAGACAATTTATCAGAGCAGGATTGGAGGAAACCCATTGTAGATTATCTACAAAATCCAGCAGCTTTGACAGAACGAAAAATAAAATATAGGCCGTTAAGTTACGTACTCATGGGTAATGAGTTGTTCAAAAAGACGCCTGAAGGGGTATTACTAAAGTGCTTAAGCGAAACCGAAGCATACATAGCCCTTTCGACTACGCATGCTGGAGCATGTGGAGCTCACCAAGTAGGTCATAAGATGAAATGGATGTTGTTTCGACAAGGACTATATTGGCCTACTATCTTGAAAGATTGTGTCGAGTTCGCGAAGGGTTGTCAGGAATGCCAAGTCCATACTGGTATCCAACATGTACCAGCAAGCGAACTTCACTCAATAGTGAAACCTTGGCCTTTTAGAGGATGGGCGTTGGATCTTATTGGAGAGATTCGACCAGCATCATCAAAGAGCCAGAAGTATATACTGGTAGGCATTGATTATTTCACTAAATGGATCGAAGTTATCCCTTTAGTCAACGCAGACCAAGAAAATGTTTTTGAATTTATTCAAAAGAACATTATCTACAGATTTGGAATCCTTGAGACTATAACAACTGATCAAGGGTCAGTGTTTACTGGTCGAAAGATGCAGGAATTCACTCAAGAAACAGGCTTCAGACTCTTAACATCAACACCTTATTACGCGCAGGCAAATGGTCAAGTCGAAGCGGCGAATAAAATAGTGATTGGCCTGATCAAAAAACATGTGGGAAAGAAGCCAAAAAATTGGCACAAAACGTTAGACCAGATCTTGTGGGCCTGTTGAACGTCCCCAAAAGAAACCACTGGTACAACACCATATCTGCTAACTTACGGTCATGATGCAATACTGCCAGCAGAAATTTGTCTTCAATCAGCAAGGGTTCAAATACATCAAGATATTCCCTCTGAGGTTTATTGGGATATGATGTTAGATGAATTGGTAGATTTAGATGAAGAAAGACTACGAGCTCTCGACCTACTGAGAATTCAGAAGAAAAGAGTGGAAGACTCTTACAATAAGAAAGTAAAACCTAAGGCATTCTCGCCTGGAGAATTAGTTTGGAAGGTAATTCTCCCCATGGATCGAAGAGATCGAAGCATGGGAAAATGGTCACCCAAGTGGGAAGGACCCTTCAAAATCATTCAAACTTTTCTAGTGGAGCTCATGAGGTCGAAGAGTTAAGCGAAGATAAAAGACTCTTGAGAGTAAACGACAAATATTTGAAAAAATATAAACCTATGCTCCAAGAGATCAAAATAAATAATAATTAATGACTAAGTTAACCATAAGGCCAAAATGGAAAATGACATTGATTAACCAAAATGGCTACATTGTATTACAAAAATTATAGTACATGGTCAATGAGGTGCAGAGAAAAA